TAATATCGAGACAGTTTTGCTATCGCGATATCACGATATTGATAATATCATTACATCCCTAGTAAATACTGATAGCATGTCCATGTCGACTAACCGTGTGATCCGAACCCTTCTGAGCCGAGAAGATCTCCGCGTCTGGCAGCGTGTCGAATGGCGACAGCGTCTCGACGTCCACGCTATCCAACATCTCGGTCAGAGCGGACAGCAGCGATGCCTCGCTCTCCATGCTGTTCGTCGGCGTCTTCTCCTGAAAGATGGATAAAATGGACGGATCCAGGCTTCCGTGAAGTGCATCGGAGATCCTTCCGACATTCAGCTCGAAGACGGGAACATCGCGTTTCACAAATTCAACCTATGGATAAAACAAATCACACAACCCAGGTTAAAAAAAGAAGTGCACTTCCATAATGTACTTAAAGTGCTCTATTTTCACGCACTAATTTTGTTCTTAATGCACTAAAAGTGATTCTTTAGTACTTCTTAAGATCGACTAAGTGTACTCAACTGTGCTATTCCGGGACACCATGAATATGAACTAAAATGTGCTTTTAACATACTATCTCTGTATTTAAAAAATGTTTAGTCACCACTTGAGTGTACTAGTGTATGAAAGATGGGTTCTTCAAGTGGTAACTAAATACATTTTTTCCCAAAATAGCACAGTTGAGTACAATTAGTCGATCTTAAGAAGTACTAAAGAATCACTTTTAGTATATTAGGTACAAAATTAGTGCGTGAAAATAGAGCACATTAAGTACATTATGGAAGTGCACTTTTTTTTACCTGGAAAACGATGTCAGATTCAAATCCTGCAGGATAAACTCTGGCCTTTATATTCCAGTAAAGTCAAAGCTGTAAAGTCAGTATGATAAGGTATTACAACAGTCCTACAATCCGTGAACTTAAAGGGTTACTCCACCCCTATTTCCTGTAACTACAGCAAAGCACTTTACTGAATATAGTTTGTTAAAAAGGGCGTTGTTTTATATAATTTAAATGATTTTACCCTGTATATAATTAAAATTATGTTTGCCCTTCAAAACACCATCATACTGCCCTTAGAAAATGTTATCATGGTAACTACAGTCAAAATACCATAGTTACTACAGTAAAGCTGTACATGGTTTAATCCACCACTGTCATCTGAAAAATATACTGAAAGCTTCTTACATTTGGATTTCTAATTTTACAGAAGTAACAAATGAATATAACATTAACGATATATATTTTATTATATTTTAGTAGTTAATTAATAGTTTCAAAAAAAATAATTACAAGAAAAGAAAATCTGTTTTTTAAGACTGTCTATCAGAAATTTTGTAAACTTTCGGTACACTAGGTTGTAAACAAAACTTGGATTTTTTTTTAATCAAATATTTATTCTACTCTGCATTTCAATAATACAATTGTTTACATAATTCCCATTTGTTTTAAGAAGTGTCATTATCACTAAATAAAGCTATAACCACAAAAAAACATTTCTGAAACAAACATTGACTGAAATAAACTATAAAATTCATCACACTTCTCATTTTAAGTACTAAATAACTAAAATTAAATAAACTAAAATGTAATAAAAATATATATTAAATTGTATATAGTCAGACTATAATTTAACCAGAAAAGTTTACATTTTAAATATGCATATTAAAAATGGTCAACTTTCAGTTGTACACTAGCTCGAAATTTACAGTTTGATGATCGTGTTTATTCTGCAAATAATTTAAATAATATTTGCCCAAAAATAAAAACTTCATATTGTGAACCATATAAAAACTTGCCACAATGGTAATTATAGACAAAAAAAAACAAAACTACTACAATACAGCTGTAAATACTTGAGTTTATTTGCAAAAACATAACTTCAAAAATCGTGTTTTTTATTATGTTTTCATGTTTTTATTGTGTTTTATTGTATTAGTTAGCTGTATTTTTAGTTATTTTTTAACCTACTCAAAATAACAACTGCAGTTTGATTGAGAATAACTGGAAAGCACAATGAAAAAACATGATTTTTGAAAATGGTTAAAAACGGAGTTATATGCTTTTGCAAATGAACTCTTCACATTTTACTTGATTTACTATTTTACAGTAAAAACGATAAATTAAGACATATAACATTAACATAATTATATATTTTATTAAGTGTTGAAACTTAAAGTTAATAAATAATTACTAGAAAAGAAAAGTGTAAATTTTAAATCTGTATAACAAATAAAATTGTAAAGTTCATATAGTAGTATACTAGGTAGTACACTAGTTCGAAGTTCACAAGCATGGACTTAAGAACAAACTGCAAAACTCTCAATTTGATTTTCTGAAGTATTAAGTGTGAAGATGAATTGATTCGGATTGAATCTTGATCTGAGAATGAACTGAATTCTGTATGATTCTGTCAGGCGTGCGTGCGTGAGACACGTCAGCGTCATTTGAGCTACGCACGTATCAATACGTGAGCGTTATCACAGTGAAGATAATAAGCTTCAGTTATAATTAATGATTCATTTATTCATGCATTTAAATATGAACACCAGCAGAAAGGGTCGTGTAAAAGACTCGTTTCATTCATTCATTTAATGGCGTTTCATACTGATTGAGTACAAAAGCTTTCAAACAAACGCAGCGATATTACTTATAATTATTAACTTAAAGTCGATCGATCGACAAACTAAACCACCTTTGAGCCGTTAACAAGATCTCAAAAGCGCATTTCTGGAGATTTATAACGCGTGCGTAACTTCACATCCGCCTCGAGTCGCGCTGGCGTCCACGTGTTCACGCACGGAGCGTATTTTTTACACATGATCATCGTCACAGCGTCTTTATATAAACACCTGCAGATAAACAACAGAAACATATACAAGACCTGAGAGCCCTGGTGCGCTTGTGCTGCGGTATAGTCCGTCAAATCACACTTTAAATCCTTCAGTTTTACGCCATGCGGCGCCGCCATCTTGATTCGGAGAGCGGAGCTGCGCGCGAGGCGCCGGGGGAGTCACGTGATGCGGAGGTTCCCGGGAAAATGACAGCTCGCCTCGAATACGTTTAAAAAAAAAGTCGTTGCAGTTGCCAGGCAACAACTTACAACGGCCGCCTAATCATTTTACCTCAGATTTGTTTTACGGTAATTACTATTATTGTTCATATTTTATTTGATTTCTGTAATTAGGATGACGGAATAGAGTGGCATCTAGTGGTCGATTTTGTCAGGTAGGGCAGATCAGCTATTCGATAACGATTTATTCATTTTCTCTCAAGTCTCGTTGCTTTCATTTCATTAGTTAGCAGCCAAATAAGGGATTATTTATTTAAAGTGAAATACTAATTTCTATAATATCACTCTTAACACGATTCACATTATAATCAATATTTCCGTATTGTTGTCCAGTGAAGTATCACGATAACGTTACATTTACCTCAGAAGAAATGTAGTATTTTGTCTTGTTCCGAATAGCAGATTTGTTTTCACATGTTTTAACTAGTGTTATTATCCTTAAATAAAACTTAAAGCATAAAAAAAACATTTTCATTACTTGGGATGAACATTATTTGACTGAAATAAAAAATACACTTAAACTTGTTTCTTTTTAGCTAGTTGCCAAAGCAACATTTCTCATTTTCATTTAGTTTGAGTTGAAGTACTAAAATCACTATAACTAAATAAACTAGGCTAAATCTAAAAGCTAGAAATGAATACATAATTTAATATATACATAAAATATATAATTAAAAATGTATATACATTTTATTTATTTCGTTTATTTGAGATGAAAACCGAAAATATAAAAATAAAATCGAATAAAAAATATTAACAAAAACAATAATAGTAATGTCAATTTTACTAAAATAACACGTCTCTAAATTTGTTTTGTTTCATAATGTATTGCTAATAGTCAATATTATATATATTAGCGGATACTGGATATCTAACGCTCATCTCTCCCATTTTTACACTTAGATTACTTATTAGATTATCTTATAAAAACACTAATAAATTAATAACTATCTCAAAATGAATATGCATTTTTGTTATTATAATGCCTAAATTCCTGTGTAGATTTTAAAACATTTAATTTAGTTTTTTTTTAGTGTTTTATTTTTAATGTATTTAGACACAATGCCATGCAAATAGATAAAGTGCATTAAAATAAACACTTAAATGTGTATTTTTGGATATTTTGTCAAATCTGGAATTGTAAAATTGACCAGTGCATGAAAACAACAACAACAGTGTTTTCGCCTGAAGTGTTTTGACTTAATTTCAGTAAAGTGCGTTATAGTATGTCACGTTAAAGGGGTCATATGATGCTGCTAAAAAGAACATTATTTTGTGTATTTGGTGTAATGAAATGTGTTTGTCTTCACGACATGGCGGCGGCGGCGGCAACAATACTACAGCGAGAATAAAAGTAACGCCTTCTTTCTTTGCGTGAACATTTGGGCGGCGTTATGCAAATCTTCCCACATAGTGATGTAGACATGTGGGGGTGTGTTAGAACCAGCCGTTTTAGGGGGCCGTGGCTGACTCTTAACTTTTATAAAGAATATCTCTTTGGATTTGAGACTTTAGTCTTTGCAACTTTACAGATCTTCTTTATGCACCAAGAGCTTGTAACACTCCAAAGAGAAAGGAACAATTGAAATCGCATCATATGACCCCTTTAAACTCTTCTCAAAGAACAAGAAAAGTCCCGTTTTCTACAGTCAGCGGAGCATTCTTTTCAGGTGTTCTGGTGTTAATTCCTCCTCTCTCTCCGAGCCGCGCTAGCGTGTCTTGTGAAGCAGAAGGGAGCTCCGTGAAAGTGGGTCACCTTCCGGATCAATCCAGACCCTGCGGTTTCTCCCGAGAGATTGCCATTATCTGCACACACACAGGTAGATCCGCTCACCTCCAGCAGACAATGTGCTACGCTCACAGAGCTTCCTCCTGTTCCTTCATTTCTCGCTCTCGCTTCACCCTCCTCTTCCCTCGTTTCCAGTATCGGTGGCCTCTCAGAATTTGGCAGGAAACCCAGAAAAGCTCTCAAATGAAACCTAGAAGAGAGAAAACACACACACACACACTTTTCATTTCCTTCAACTAGTGTATTGTTTAGCGTTTATTCCTTTTGTTAGATGAAGTTCATAAACTAATATGTGACCCTGGAGCACAAAACCAGTCATAAGGGAATTGGAATGCATAAATTGAGATTTATACATCATCTGAAAGCTGAATAAATAAGCTTTCCATTGATGTATGGTTTGTTAGCAGGGCTGGATTGGTAATTGGGCATACCGGGCATTTTCCCGGTGGGCCGATGCACTTAAGGGGCCGACAGAATGTTTTTTGTCGAAAACCATCACGCAAGGACAGCGAGCAGCCAGTGGCCCATTGGTTTGTCTCCTGTATTGACAGCGTAAACATCCAATCACAATGCGCTATAGACGGAGCGATGAAGTATTTTGCTCCACCTATATAAAGATCGCTTCACCCCAACTTCTTCCTCGTCGGCTTTTCCCACGTTTTCACAGCAGCATTATCAAGAACAGCTATTTTTATTAGCCATTTCACACAATTCAGAAAAACAAAAATGTAATAATGTATAATATTTATAATATTATAAATGAAATGTGCGTTATTTGGAAGAAAGTCGAGGTGTGACTGACTTTAGCCCACTAATTCCATTAGAGTATTGCTCTATACAGTGGATCCCCCGTTCCCCCCCCCTTGTCCGTTCCATTTGGGAGAGACCCAGAGGTGAACTGTCCCCCGCGCCGCCGCGCCCCGCTCCCCTTTCCCCTTCTCACACAGCTTCTGTGCACGGCACCTTCTTGGCAAGCAGGGTGCCAATTTGCCAATTCCCCACACAGTGAAATGATAGATAATAGAAAACCACTTTGCGGCGGCGGCGCAGAGGATTATTATTATTTTTTTTTTTACTGCTCATGCTGCCCCCCATGTATCATGAAAAAATGCCGCCCCAGGCAACTGCCCGGTTCGCCCGTGCCAAAAACCGCTACTGGCTCCAGGGTCACATATACAAATAATTCTTACTTGAAGTGACAGTTCACTGAAAAATTTACATTTTGTCATCATTTACTCCCCTCATGTTGTTTCTTTCTTCTGTTGAACACAAAAGATGATGTTTTAAAGAAGATTGTGGGGGAACAAACAGTTGACGGTACCGTCAACTGTTTGGTCCCCCACAATCTTCTTCAAAACATCTTTTAAAGAAATAAACTCATACAGGTTTGGAACAACTTGAGGGTGAGTAAAAATGCTAGAATTTAAACTTTTCAGTGAACTGTCACTTTAAAATGTGTGTTATTCATCATGTCATTTGACGTGTGTGTGTGTGTGTGTGTGTGTTTGGTCCACAGAGAGCATCAGTCAACACATAGGACCCCTGACCTTTAACCTGACACCCCATCAGCCATTGGCAGCATGATGCCAGCCTAGTTACTGCTAAAGCTGCTCTGTCATGTGTGGTGCTGCAAACATCTGATCCCAGATCAGCCTGAGAGAGAGAGAGAGCTGAGAACACAAATGTAAAAGGAAAGTCTTTTTCTGTCTTCATACTCACTGTTCGTCTCTCAGAGGAGGAGGAGATTAATGTGTGCGCAGAGAAACTGAGAGCTGAAACCTGACAGAGCGACAAAGGAGAGACAACCAGCTTTGAAAAAGACCACAGCTGTAGGGGTACAGGACCACACA